CTAAGATATGGAACCAACCCAGATGCCCCTCAGTAGATGAATGGATCAAGAAAATGTGATATATATATATATATTATATATATATATATATATATATATATAGTAATTGCTCCATTTATTAGGAAATGGAAAGACTTGGAAAAAAATTACATTAAGTGAAGTAAGCCAGACCCCCCCCCCCAAAAAAAAAGGTCCCATGGTTTCCCTTATTTGTAATAACTAGTATATGTCTGGGACAAGCAGAAAAGGTCAGATAAGATGATGTTAAGTGAAATGAACCCCAAGATAGGGACACAAATGGTTTTTTTCTTTCTTGCTATTATTTCTAAAGTATTTATAAGGTACCATGTGATTTTTTTTTTTGTTGCTTTGTATGTCCCTCCCCCACAGTATAACCCCTGGTTTCACTGTATTTGGTGTTGGTATAATTTGGGGAGGGGAAAGGAAAAAACAAAATGTTTAAATAGAGATTGACCCATTGCAACAATGAGATGTACAAGACGCTATGTTGAAAACGAACATTACAATTTAGGCGGAGGGAGGGGGACTGAGGGGGGAAGTTTAGTTGTGGAGGTGGGAGGGAACGGATAGTAGGTGAAAAACGAAGGAGGAGGCAACAATGCTTGATAAGAAATGTTCTCATTACCTTGCTCATGTAATCATAACCCCTCTGTGCAGTATTTTCACAATAAAAAAAACTTCCAGGAAAGCAAAGCCAAAGACCTACAGGTGCCTTCCAAAGGTTGTTATTGGGGAAGATGTTAAAGATAAATGAGGAGGATTATGTCAGCTTTTTTGAAAAAGCAGTCTTGGCAAAAGGTTTAAATCTTAGGGGTTCAGGGATCAGTAGTCACACTGACAACACCCCCACTGAACCCTCAAGTCATTGGACAGACATCCTGGCAGGAATGTTGCTGGCTGAAGGTAGTGAGGGACTTTGTACAGTATGTGGCCCTATCTAGGTCTCCAGTGAATGTATTTTTCCATTAGCACACACATATATAAGACCTCTCCATTATGTCTAATCAGCTCTCTCAATCCATTTATATGGCTATAAACTGATCAAAAGTGACTGGTTCCATTCTGATTACTCCCACCAGGGACCTAGAGTGATGAACATGACGAGTTTTTAAGTGTACAGTTTATAATCTCTGGCGACATTCACAGTGCTATCCATGAGAACTCGTTTTAGTATTTGTCTTTCTTTCCATCTAGCCCTCAGCCTTAATGCCCCAGGCTGAAGGCTTCCATCCAACCCCCCAGAACTAAATTCTTGGACTGAGAACCTTATAGAGCCTAAGTCCTGGCACAAAGAGTATGTCTGGAAGACAATGGCTAAACAGGCTTCCCCGACTTTGGGGAGGAGGTAAGTCCTCTCTGACCTTGAGGTGATGGTGAGTGACCTGGACATTGAGGACAGGTGCAGGGTCCAGGTGGGATGGGGTGGGGATTCAGTCACAAGGCTGGAATTCCTGGCAGAGCAGGTGGCTTGCATTTGAGCCTGAGAGGTCTCACTATTTGGTGCAGGGACAAAGACAGACTTTCCTAAATTCTGAAGTTCATGGCTGAGGGTTTCAGAGATGTGTGGCCCAGCTCAAAGCTGAGGAGATTATCCATCCCTAGTCAAGTAACTGGTTGGGCTGAAACAAATTTCTGAGTTTTCTACATCAAAATTTCAAAGTTTCTATGATGCCTCGAAAGTTGAGACAGAAACAAGAACAGTTTATTTGAACAGTTCATTCACGATGACTAAATAATGGCAGGTGTCCCAGAGGTCTTCAAAGCTGGCTTCAATTTTACCTGAGCTAGCAAAATCTTATGCCCAAGAAGATAAGGAATGTGATATACCTGGATGCAAAAGCTTGCATGAGGGGCTGGGAAGGTGGCTCAGTGGTACACGCACACTGATCCAGGGACTGGAACTCATAGCCTGAGCTATTTTGCTCAAGGCTAGTGCTTTATTACTTGAGTTACTGCTCTACTGGTGGCTTTTTGGTGGTTAATTGGAGATTTTAAAAAAATCTCATGGACCTTCTTGTCTGGGCTGGCTTTGAACCACAGTCCTCAGATCTCAGCCTCTTGAGTAGCTAGGATTACAGGCATGAGCCACCAGTACCTGGATTGAATAAGCAGTGTTATGTAAGGTATTAAGCAAGGTCACCTATAGTAGCTCCTGCCTATAAACTCAGCTGTACAGGAAGGGTATGGAAAAGGATCATGGATCCAGGTTAGGGTAGAAAGCATATAACCTTGTCTGAGAAAAGAACAAGAAACAAAAGAAAAAGAAAAGAAAAGGGATTCTGGGTATAGTTCATGTGGTAGAATACTTGTTTTCCAAGTGTGAGAACCTGGGTTCAAACCCCAGTACTATCAAAACTCAAACAAAAACCATTCATCAAACTAATTTTTTAGTAATTAGATATAAGATAAAATATCCCCTTACCATTTTTGTGTTGGCCTTGAATTCCTGGTAGTCTGTTCAGGAGTCACTCCTTTTAGAAGAAAAGTAAAGGTAAAAAAAATGATTTAAGCCTTGCAATTCTCAAGAAAGAAAAAAGGAAACATGTTATTTTTCCTTAGAGCAATGACTATAAAAATCCTGCCATTATAAAAAGCTTCCCTTTGTGATATGTGCAAGCCTTAACAGCCAATGAGCTTCTGCAACCTTTGTTCTTTAGTAACTCTTTGGGCCTAGGAGTGCTCTTTAATATAGAATCATCTAAGGAGGAGCCCAGATGATTGCAGTTCTGAAGGACAGGAGAGCTTGACATGGGCTCTGAGAGGCAAATCTACCCCCTGTCATGAAGATGAGGCCTTTTACCTTTGTGCAAAACCACTAGGCAGACACAGATAGGCAGGTGATCTGGATGCCTCTGGGGTGTGTGAGCACTGGCTGTCCCTGGTGCTGGCACAGCCTCCTCCCGAGGACTGTTTGTTGGTATAAGAAGAGTATTAGACATTTCTGTCTTTGCCTCCTTCCAGTGGATTGCCTCTGCTGAGCCTCACATTGGGGTTTAGTGCTTTAAAAAAAAACCCCAGCCTAAGTGTTTTATTTCTCTCCTCCCCCTGAAAAGAAGTCTTCTGAGTTGGAAGTTTTGTTCTCCAATGTAAATGTGCAATGTGAGTCAGTCAGGCTTGTCCCTGGATTTCTCAGCACTTTATTTCTGACTATGCCTATATTCACAATTACCCCTCAATGGCCACCAGAATGCTTCCTGCTCTCACGTTAGTCACCAGTGATCTTTATAAGCACCCATCTCCAAGGAACCCAGTGGGCAGGTGCAACTGATACCCAGAGGGAGTCCCTACCAAGACAGCTCCCAGGAAGAAGGGCCTGGGCTTAGCCTCAGCCCTGGTCTACGTGATCCCCCTGCAAGCTATCAGTGAGGTCTCTGGACAGAAGATGTTTCTGGACCTGGGCCTTAGGTCTAGCTAGCTTGTACTTAGGATTTAAACAATTTTACCTTTCTCTGACCCTTTTGGCAAACTTCCTGATACTCTTCAGCTTTCTACTCACAGGACACAGCACCCCGATTTCTCTTTAGTCAGTACATCCACTTTCCCCATCATCTAGCTGAGTCCCCTCTGCTCCAATCTCACTGTGGCTGCATGTCAGAGACAAGGCTTCTTGGCACACACGGGTATGGCCCTACTGTGAAAGGAAGAACGGGCTTCTGGAGGATGCTCTTCCACAACTCATCTTTTCCCTAAACTACCTGACCCAGGGCCTTTAGGCCAATCCACTGAGCCTGGGAAGACCCAGTAGGATCCTTCCTTTGCTGGATCTCAGGGGCGGCTGGTTCCTACTGCAGCCTCATGCCAGGCCCTCTTCTCTACCAGACCTATTCATGCCACCAATGAAGGATTCAGTTCACCTTTGCCCCTTCCCTCATCAATGCCTCCTTCCTCCTGCTTACCTGCACTAAAGCTTTCTCAGAACCTTCTAGGATACTCTAAATGCTGTAGATATATATTTGTTCCTATTTTCTCATACACAGGGATATGATCTCATTGTTTCATTGATGTATCAGTATGTTTTTTCTTTGCCCACAGAAAGCCTGGTAACTGGTAGTTATTCATACATTGTGTGTTGCATGACTACACAAGAGATAACAAAGGTGTATATTCTAAATTTGCAGGAGCTGGAAAGGTACACATTGACTGCCAAGCTCAAAAGTCCCAGTCCTCCCAAAAACTTCTATTAGATTTGTCATTTTATATTCAGAATCTAACCCTGAGCTGCCTGTGCCTCAGCTTGTGACAAGCAACGTAAATAAGGAGAGCTGAGATTCCTTTGGACAAAGTGTTGATTTTTGAGCTAAACAGCCAGAGTGGAAATGTTAGTCCTGCCCCCAGTGTATCTTCACCTCCCTGATTGGGGATCAGAGTAGCATTTCCCAAAGACTCCAGGTAAGGCAGCCACTCTGCTCTAAGCAAATCCATCTAAATCATCACACTCTGGAATTTTTCAGATCCTCCCTGTGAGTTTAAACAATCTAAACCCCTTTTCTATACCTTTTTTTAAAAAAGAAAATCTGTATAAACAACATTTACCTGTTTATAGGGTAAATCTTTGCAGCATTTATTCCATTCACAGTGTGTGGCACAGCCACATTTATCAAGTCCCTACAAAATTCCATCAACATATTCTTGAAGCCATTGTTTCCCATTTCCTTCTTCCCATACCTCTCTTTCCTTCCCCAATTTAGGCTAATCCCCACTGAACTTAGATCTCATTACATAGTATCTTACTTATCATGGTGGGGGAGGGAAGAGGCTCTACTCCACCTTCCTGTTTCTCTTAGCCCACTCCAATCCAGACCCAATAATGCCCTCCCCAGTGCACACATTTGTGCACCACTGCCCAGCTTTGGGATTCTATGCCAAATCCTTTAGGAAGTGCTGTAGCTGCCTCACTGCAGTCATGGATTTGGTCTAGAAGGGTGTGCAGGGAGCTCAACTGGGTGGTAACACTTAGGGTGGGAGGCCCTTTCCTGGTAGAAAGTTACAGTGTTGACCAGGCCTGGGAACCTCGAAACCTAGAGACCCTCCAGTCCCCACTCTTCCTCATGGAGGCTTGCCACAGAAGGAGCTGTCCAGTGTGAGCACCCAGATGTTGGTGTTAATCAGGGGACATAAGAAGCTTCTGTGTCTACTCTGGTATCTAATGGAGGCCGCCACGCTGAGGACCACTCTTGGAGGAAGGACTGTATCCCCACAGCATCCACACTACAAGCAGGATGAAGGGCTTTCTCCCTTCTCACAACTTATCTTTTGAACCCCGTCATCCTTGCTCCTCATTTAGAAACTTCAGATGCTGAACTATGAAAGATATAAATGGAGGAAAGGAGAAAGAATGTTCCAGGCCAAGAACAGTATCTTCAAAGGTCCAGCAGACATGTATGAACTAGAAGGTCTGGTTTTGTTTGGGAAGGGAATGCTGAGGATGGAACAGGGGCAGCCATGCTGCCACACTGGGTCTGAGTGCCAAGCAGCAAAGGCCCTCGTCCTCATGGAAGCTTCAACCAAGGAAAGGGTTGGATTTCTATGGCATTCCTGGGTTCCCAGGACTCATCATACTACCACAGAGTATCCATCCTGGCTTCCTTGTCCCCCTCTGCATCTCTCATCTCGGTCCTAACAGACCTGCACACATGTGTTATGCACAAGTAAAACAATCTCCAGGCTATTGAATAAAACATTCCCAGCTCAGGGACCAGCATGGTTCTTTTTCATGTCCTGGTCTAACCCTTTGTGGACTGGGAAATGCTCTAGGAACACGGAGCATGCTGGATGAGGAGGGATGGTAGCCTCAAATCAGGAGAAAGTTTTCATTGGACTGTCCCTCCTGGCCTCTAAGGAGCTGTCCCCAGGGCTAACCATTGAATATGAAGCTGGAACCACACAGTTTAGAAGGCTCCAGAAGCTTTAAGTGCAGTGGTAGGTTGGGGGTATTGGGAGTACAGGGATAAAGGCTACAAAAGACTTCTGTGGTGCTTATCAAGGCCAGGGAGGCAGAATGAAGCCCAGGATCCCAGAACTCATGTTTGGAAGCCCTCACTCCCCTACTATCACCTGGCATAGATGATCCATGTCAGTCAAATGGTCTTGTGACAAGGCCAATTGTGAAGTCTGGACAGGGTTTGGACCAGCTGTCCCTTAAAGGAGATAGCTGCCAGCAGAATCAGGATGGGACAGGATCCACCACCCTATGGGGTGACTGAGGAGTGCTGAGGTACTTTGATCAGTGAAAGATCAGCCTCTGGGTCCTGCTGTGAGATGCTAGGCCATCTGGAACCCCAGTGGTAAAGATGAAGTAGCTGTGAATGGCAAAAGGGCTGCAAACATCATCCCAGACCACGTTCCACGGATACTGTGTCAGTCTTTTTCCAGGATAGCATTGATGGGATTGAGGCATTTATAACTTCTCAAGTTTCTGGGCATTTGGGAACACAGGCTAGGATGGGGCTGTGTCCCAGTGATGACAGTCTGGGGTACTTAGCCATCCTACATCATCTTCCTAGATCCACAGGATTGTGCCATGTGCTTGACGTGATGGCCACATGTGCCAGCTCCACAGAGTTTGACACATTCACTTCTCTTCATAAAAACAATCCTCACTTGATCTTAGTCCACTTCTTAGGATTGAAAAGGAGCTAAAGCATATGTGGGGCTTTTCTGGCTGCCATGTTCTCACAGAACTACCCAGAGCCTCTGCTCTATGACTGCAGACCCTACACTCACCGGAGCTACACTTTTCCCTGATTTTGCTGCTCTGAAAAGACATGGAGCCCTGCCTGAGCCAGCCAGCTGACACAGGGTGAAGCTCTGGCCTTTCACTTCAATCAGTCGCCCAAAATGGCAGCGTTGTCTAGAGACAAAGTAACCAAGTCAATTCCAGAAGAAACTAAGACCAACAGACTTGTAAACTCTGTTTGTCTTGCTCTGACTTGTTTTTAATTCAACATTAATATGGTGCTGGGCAAATGAAACTGGTAGCCTGGAAAGCCTGAATGGAGAGCAGAGCCCCTAATAATCCCAAATCCCGTACATTAGATTCATTGGACTCAGATAGACAGAAGAAAAGAACTTTTATGGTTTATATTAGTTTGGGGGAGCTCAGGTAGGACTTGGTGATGTCAGCCAAGTCTGTGTGGGAACACATGGCCACATACTGCCTCCAGGGGAGTCTGGCAATGAACCACAGGAAGAAGAGCAGAGTGAAGATACACACAATGGCCAGCATCCATGAGCCATAGACCAGGAGTAGTGAGAGGCATCCCAAGTAAGAGCAGGAGTGTTTTGGGCAGCTTCCGCAGGTAGTGAAGCGGCAGGAATATGCTCTTCCATATCACTGGTGAACAAGGCCAGGACCTGTGTGTGGTCGCTCTCCTGGTACTTGCGCATGTAATAAGGAGCCATGGGGAGATGTCTGTGACTGAAATCTCACTGCCCATGAGCCAAAGCTATACTTGTATGGCTTTGCTCCAGCCCTGCAGAGAAAGAGGAGGCCATGTGAGTCCCACTTGTATATCTTCTTCTGTGTCTTTAC